CAAAAAACAGTTAATTGAAGAATTGAGCATTAAAAATTTTGCAACAAAAAATATGAAGATACATCCAGAAATTATTGAAAACCATTGATTAATCTATAAAATTTAAGAATTTAATTTGTAGCCAATCCAGCTCATATAATCAACGAAGATCTTCGATTCGTCAAGGCATAAGATGGAGACAAATTTTACGCAGAAAGGTTGGGTCACAAAACCTGGGCCAAAAGCAAACTCAATATTTGTTAGTCCTTCCAGCAATTTTGACGACTGTAATTTCGAAGGAGACGATCTTGGTTTTTTTCTTAAGTAGCTTCTATCGCCGCTATATGCAAACAGCATTATATAATATAATCAGAGCACCACTAGAAACCGCTAGAAAGCACATGGGCTCCTCTCTGTGGTATACATAGAATTGAACAAATTTATTAGAAGAAATTACGAATTTTCAAGAATTTTGTTGCAGAACCTATGCATCAACTTAATAATATGCGTATATTAAACTAGGGTATCATTGAATTAGAAGTTCGAGCACATTTAAATTTTGTTGGGCTTTTTTAATAGTAAACAAAATTGAGGGATCGGGTATTTACTGTACCAAAGAAAGCAACTAACTTGTGTTGGTTTTCTTGTTTGTACATAGATCTACAATGATAAAACTAATGCAATTTTTTGCACTAGTGAATAGCAGCATCTTCTCCATCGCGGGGACAGATAACTTCTTATTACTCAAAAAGAAACAGAATTTTATTCTTTTCCCATCTCTTCTTTTTTTCCCGACTCACTGTCTTGCCGATTATAAGCCTAAGGTTGGACAGCTTTGTATGGACATCACACATGCGGACGGATATATCACCCAAATCCCGTTTTACTTCAAGTCAGCGATACATCGCGGGTACCTATATGTTCCTTAGATGTTTGAACTTAGCGAACTGTTCCCCTCGCTCAGGGATTTCCCGTTCGAAATGCAGACGGAACTTCTCGGAACACTTGCAGATCCGACGCCGAGCCCCTGCGCAACTTAATTGTTACAGCCTAGACGCGGCTGACGGCTGTCCTTTCCCTGCTCGCGCAGATCCGCTCGGACCTCCCTGATCGCTGGCTGACGGCTACCTTGATCTACCTGTTTGATCTAAGCCTTGCCTTCGTTCTGTGTTTGTTTGATACGAGCTCAGCCACTGCGCAATCGCACTCGCGACTATTTGTATTGCGTGGCTTGATACACCGCAACATGCGCCAGTGCGCGAGCGCAAAAAATCAAGTCACTGAGGGGGGGGGGTCTTAAATGATGTGGCCATGTGCTGTTCGTTCTTTAGGCTGCCCAGTAGCGCTACTATCGAGCGCAAGTGTGGGATCACTCGTCGATTACGCACTTGTTTTCGAAACACTTTCCCTTCGCCGCCTTCGCTACGTCCCACTTTAGCCTCGGGAATAGGAATTCTCTCTTCATCGTTCCGTATCATTTGCTTCCATTACACCCATCGAAGACAGTAGTCTGTTCACCTATTTACGAATTCATCTTCATACTGGGTTGATGCATAATTCTTCCATGGTATTTTGAAACTTTGCGTTTTCTCCTCAAAGGAACCGATGTTTTGATATAGTGGAGAGAGAAACTACGCTTTAGAAGTGTTTCAGTCTGAATTCTTTGTTGGATTTTGGCTAGGAGGAAATCTGGTACTCAAAAAGTGATTTTTCGAATTTTGATCAACAAAATTGCAAAAGCAGAAAAACTTTATTTTTGTTTTGGTTTCATGACTTTTTGACTAGAAGGAACTTTGCGGCGATCGGATGTCTATACGGATAGTTATGAATATCAATTTATTCGACTTTTTGACCTCAAGTTTTCAAACTCGAATTTTCAGTATGTGTTCAAAAAACTACATTTGAGATACATGACAAGCAGCAATCAAATAGATCATTATTTTTTCAATCGTTTTTACAACGAAATCTTCATATTTTTAGCACCAATGTAATGCATCCCCCGTGATTTCTTGTTCCCTGAGTCTCAAATCTTGAATAATCGAGATCTTCTGTCCTTGATTTTTACAAGACTCCGAAATAAGTCACTTCCATTCTCCTAAAAGCAATAAATTTTAAATTGCTTGTATCCGCGCTAGAGATCGATACGAAACATAATTTACGCCTGTCATTTTTCACATTGTTTGTCTTCAATTTTGACATCAAAATTGGTGTGATGTGTTGAAGATAACATCGTAAAAGTGCAACGTTGTGATTTGGACGAGCATTTGTGTGTGAAAAGGTCTATAAATATCTATAGAAATAGTAAAAGTGCTTGCACCATTTGTAGTCTATGAATATTATTATATTATTCTCGCGAGCATATCCAGCTATTGATCAGTATGATGAATTTTCGAGGAGTGTTTTTACTTTTCTTGTTAGATTAGAATTTTTATGATTGGAGCGTTTTTGTAGTCGTCGTTGCTTCCTACAAAATCATATTTTGATTCTGAAATCTCGCTAAAGCTCCAACTTGCTATTAGATGTTAGATTGACATAAGTTTAGAGACAAAAAGACGAATCATTCGTTTTGATTTCGCTTGAAAACTCAATAAATCATATGACATGTAGTCAATATTTCATTGTACATTAAGAAGCTTTAATTGAGTTAAAATCAAAAAGATGGATAAAAAGTCATGAAAATTTTGAATGCGTAGAAAAATCCGGTCAGCAAGAATTTTTTGTATGAAGCAATGCATAAAACCTGAACAAAATTAGGCATTTCAGTTCACGGCTCGGCAAATTCAGCTACCAAAACCTGAGGAACTACTTTTTGAATGTTCACCTCAATAAACTTATCGCCCTAAGCTAACAAAGATTTTTATCAAAATAAAGAATTTCATCTGAAAAGTCATCTCAAGATTCCCTCTCTTAACTATCTTCAAATCAATGAAGAAAGTTGTTGAAAAATTTTAGAAGTTATAGACCTAACGTGAATATTTTATTATTGTGAACTCTGTTGAGATTTGCAAATCATTGAGGTACATTTTGCTAGAACAAAAAACTATCACTAAATCCATCTTATCCGCTGATGTTCGCTCTCGAACTTTCGGTTCATGCGCTCGGCTCGTTATTTTTTGCTGGTTAAACAAAATGCTTCCGGGGAGTGCATTGAGTATTCAGACTTTCGGCGCCCGAGTCAGCAAACAATGCACACGTTTTATTTGATATGCGCCTGCGTAGAACACGAAAATTTGATGTCTAAAGAGAGAAAAAGGAGTCTGGAGACTTTAGACATTAAAATTTTCGTGTCATTGGACTCTCATTTTAAGGCGTGAGACTTGGCATAAAACTAGTTCTGAGCACGAGATTAGATAGATTAGATATTATGTGCTTTTATATACTGTTCTAGTTTTTTAAAGCTCTTAAATGCAGAATATTCTTTTTTGAGACAATGCCAGAAAAGAGATTCGCATTTTACAATACCAACTTTCTCCCTCTGATTGCGCATTATCCGAGTGCACAAAACATGACGTCAAAAGCAAAAGCTTTCCTCCTCTCGCCCATTCGTCAGAGACCCAAACTTCTGGTGAACATTTTCGTATATTATTGTTCTTTACAACTCACATATACAAGAAGCGTGTGCCCCTCCCCCCCCCCATTTTCCACTGACTCTTGCAACTGTCTGTCTCGCCACTTAAAGGCAGCGTCCAGGCAGATCTGGACCTATGGGGCTTTTACGTGGAAAGTACTTTTGGGGCCCCAACTAAGGCACTGCCCAAGCGGCAGCTCATGTAGTGCTCTAATGGCTGAGAAATTCCCCTCGAAACTGGCCCCCGCGAACGTATTCGCATGGATTCATGGCAGTTTCGCGCTAGGATCCACGCTTTGCGCCATGAATCCATGCGAACACGGTCGCGGGTTCCAGTTTCGAGGGGAATATCTCAGCCGTTAGGGCACTACCTGAGCTGCCGCTTGGGCAGTGCCTTAGTTAGGGCCCCAAAAGTACTTTCCACGTAAAATCCCCATAGGTCCAGACTTGCCTTGACGCTGCCTTTAAGTCGGATTAAAATAGCAAAGAAAAGGAACATAAGTTTTTTGAAGAAAATAGCTCAGATGCTATGTAGAGTTCTTGCGCAATTTTTTGGAGTTACTAACAATAAGAAACAAGTTCTCTGATGACTGCTGCATTTGTACGGAGTGACTCAGTTTTATTACCTGTGGCAAGTGGCGGTTCGAAATCTTATCGAGGCGGATGGGGAGAGGGAGAAAGCGTGACGGTGCCTTTTCATGTCTGTTACTTACTTTGCTTGAAAAAATTTTAGATTGTTTTTTGTTTTTTTTTGCGAGCTTACAACTCTAAAATTCAAAAAGGAGAGTGGCAACTGTAATTTAAATGTTGAAAATAATTTGATCATTTATGAAGAATTTTCATAATTAGTCATAAATTACTAGAAATTATTCGCTTATAGTGAATTCTGGTAAGCGCCTAGATTTAGATGTTTAGAGACGATAAATCTTTGAATTTGACACGTTTGACCGCAAACCTCATAATTCTGCGCGAACGTTACTGGTACTGGTAGTCAAACATTTGGGTAGATTTAAAACGTAACAAATGAATGCATCACGAGAATGGCTACAGATTGGCAACTCTTGTAGACTCCCGCCTCTTTCCCCTTGAAAAAATGCTGGACCGGAGAACTTTTTATAGCGCCGTGTGTTCTTTGAACAAAGAAAACAAGGTTCAGCTGTCTCTTAACCTTGGCATGTGGATACTCGTAATGGAAATGGCTGGTTTACGCACCAAAAGATAAAGTCGATTTAGGTGAAGAAATCATTGACCGAATTTCATTACTTTGCTTGTAGAATAACCTATTTTTAAGAAGGAATCTGTTTTACGTAGTCTTCATCCCCCTGTTGTATCACTTTCTACCCATTCACTGGGTTTATTATCCGTATCGGCTCATCTAAACCTTTGTTTGAAATGCATCGTCGATGTTTATTCACCTGTTGCGTTTGGAGCACGTATCACTTACCTGCCGGTAGATTTAGGGATGAGAAACATAATCAAAGCTCTGCAACGTCATGACAAGGAGAAAAAGTTCGTGGAGCTCTTTATTTACACAGAAGATCTTTCCCTACATGAGGATTGTTGATTTAGCGTTCAGCTGCTCTTTTCAGGGTATCATTCGGCAACGACGCTACAGTGAAGACGTTCATCTACGAGAAGGAATCCGAGGAGGCGACCCCGATTCTACAACGGCAATCGTTCACCGAGTTCGTTTGCTTCTCTTCTTTTCTTTTTTCAGTTTTTTCTTCTTTCATCTCGACCACTCAAGCAAGTGCTTAACTCTGTGTATTTGATGCTTCAAAGCAGTGGCTAAGCACGTGGGATGAGTAGAGTTCATTGTGGCATTGAGAACGCGCGTCTCGAGTTCATTTATGATCAGTCATAACATCAACAGCTGAGGTTTTGACAGCTTTTCTTAAGCGTTATAAAACTAGCCGAGAGATTTGTTTTCCGACAAACTATCGAAAACGTCTAAGCGCTTTGAACTGCTTTGAAATTTTGAGCAAAGCAATATAGAGATGAACAAGTAAGAAAAGAGTTGTGTGAATAGCAAATGGACCAAAATTTATGAGATCCGAAGGTTTACCAGAGCTCAAAAAATTCTTTAGAAAAAAAAATTTATGGTGTAAATCATATTTATCTTTGCCATATGCAAAACACATTTACTTTGTTGTAATCCTGTAGATCTTTGATACAAAATCAAAAAAAAGTAACATTTGAAAACTACGACCACCAGTAGAGACATTTCAAAACCAATTTTTTTTAAATGTGTAGGATAGGTTACGATGCATATGGCCACATTTGAATTTTATCGGATCTCTGGATTTTTTTTTATAGAATTTGTAAATTCTAAAGTCCAAGTCATTCTTTGTCAACCTCTATCTCCGCTAATGCCTGAAGTCAAAACCATAACTTTGTTTGGGAACCACCACAATCTATCTCTGTTTTCAGAAAACATGATGTACAATATTCTAAAATGGACGCGAAAAATCATAAAATCGGCGAAAGTTGCGAATTTTTGCGAGGTTTTAGGTAAAGGACCAATGTGATAGTCCGTGACCGCGTGTCCTTTTCTCCTCAAATAACTGTAGCTTTGAACCCTAAAACTCCAACCACTAGTTTGGCTGCAAGAGTCGGTTGCTAATTCTGAAACTAATCCTCTTAAGTGCAAGTACGAATTCACTCATGGACTCGAACTGTCACTCATTGAAATGCGTGAATGAAACATGCGCATAGCTAATCAGCTTTCGACTCATGTCCCAGCCAGTGGTCATTCTAGAATATTTATGATGCACTCAACTTTTTTAGATACGAAATGGAGGGATAAATTATATAGCTTAGATTAGATTACTTGTAAATCATACCATCTTGCCTTTTTGAGTGTTGTTTCCTCATTGACCCAACGTATCACCCGTGGTAAAAAATTTGGGAGAGATTCTCACTTTATTTCGTTTCATAGCATGGACCTGTGCCAAAAACTATAAAAAGTAGCACATGACACAATAAATGAGGATTGAATGGACGCAACAGGTAAATCCGTTACAGTGACAGACTATTCGCTGAGGATAATCCCGGTTTTGAAGCGCGATAGCTGAAACAAAAAATGAAATTTCATGAAGGAATTTAGAATTTCCAGTGAAAGCATGGTTACTGCAAGAATCGTTAGAATTTCCAGCGAAGATATGGTTACTGCAGGAATTTTGGAATTTTTCATTTTATGTAACAGTTGGCGACAAATACGAATTACTTTTCTAGGCCCTCATTTGTTTAAAATAATTAAAATTGGCAATTTCATTGTACGAATTATGAAGATCGTTTGTGGAATTTGGCAAAAATCCCTCTCATACTGGCGAGATTCAGCATACTTCATTCTCATTGTCATTTTCATTCTCGCTTACACACATGGCGTTTCGTATACGAAAAACTTGAAAACTGTTAATCGCTGAATACAGCCGAAACAAAAACTCAAACAAGAATACATAATGTAGTTGGAACTTTGTCTACTGATTAATTGGTGAGAATGTAATGATTCACCCTATATGGATAACCGTATGCAGTCGAAAATATTGAAACTGATTAACTATAATCTATGGAAATGGTTCCCGCTATTTTCATTTTATTTACTTTATCTCTGTGGACTTCATCTACAATATTACGAGAGTCTCCAAATTGAACTCTGCTTCCCATGAATATAGCTTTTGTACCCAGGCACGCTCTTCTCACAGTGACTACTCGACTATGTGCATTCCTCGGAAGGCTTTTTCAACGACGACGTTCGTGTTCCGGCGTTTATGTACTCGTTGTCGCAGCTGTGTGACACATCATCGTCGTTTCTGACGGGCACGCAATCAGCGGATTGTGTTGCCTTGTTTTCGGGGTTTCTTTTCCTATTTGCTTGCTGACAGACTCGCACGGACCCCGACGGGCGCGGGAAACTCCGCTCCGCATATCAATGGTAGTAAATTGCGAAGCACACACACACATACACACAAGTAGATAAGCTGAATGTGTGAGAGTACAAACGCGGAGCTCAATGTCACATGTAGGAGGGGAGGAGCGGCGACTCTGCCGCGTGCGTGACGACGCGGGAAGGAGGGGCGCGTCGGCGAGGCGGTGGCCGCGGCGGCACCGCCGTCGACCCGCAGACGCCATCAGATCATCTGCGGCAGCATCGTCGGCACGGCAGCACGGCATGACGAAGTAAGTCCCGCTCTTTGGCGCTCATAGTTCTTCGCCGCGATATCGCAGTCGTTTACGATTTACGATCGCATCGCGCTGGAGAGCCCGCAGTGTAGCTCTTATGTATGGCGCAAAATTTAAGCAACAAATTTTTTTTGAAAAATTCCTTTTTGCCTTTTCTAGCTTTTTTATGCAGACCAATTCGATATGAATTTCGCTGTTATTTGGCCACTTTCATTCCGAGTCAAATTAAAAATCCGGAAATGAGAAATTGCTCTTTTTTAAACCCGACACGTGATGCACTGATATTATGTTTGCTCTTCTCCAACTAGCCTGCAAATGAATGTAATTCACGAATATAATAAGATTAGCTGTTTCATTGAATGGGAATGGTTTTTTAAAGAGTTTCTTGACAGCGATATGAGTGCTTCCCGATAACATACACTTGTGCCTCTATTTACACAGTACCTTAGAGATCAAGTGGCACTCGGGAAAGTCCCAAAGTTTTTTTTGCTGCATCCGCCGAACTTTGCGCCATAGCTTGCGCAGGATTAAACCTCATTGTCAGAAGGCCGAGCGAGCGCATATAGCCTCCACCATTGAAGGTCGATTGCGATTTCAATTGCGATTTGCTAATTTGAGCAATATCCAATCGAATTGCCGAAAATCAATGTGTATTTTCCGCACCTCAACCGTAGTCTGTCTGGTGTGCCTTTTTCGGTATTCATTCGAACTAGTTTCTCTCCAAACGGCCTCCGCTCTCCAAATTACACAACTCGCACTTCGCAATCGGCGGCTCTCGGCTGCTGCGCTTTTGTTGGTGCATGTGAATTTCGGATTCACACTATTTTCCCAGCAGCCGACAATCAAATCAATGCTTTTCGGCTTCTCCCGGTGTTGCAATTTTCGTTCGGCCGACGGCGACGTCGCCGTCGGCCGAGCGAAAATGTTCGTCTCGCATTTTATTTTCTCACCGTCTTGAAATAGGACATGATTCGATAAATTCGCACGAATTTGAGACGCATGTGCTTGTTATTGCGATTCTAGCCAGCTTCGAGCAGTTGTCGACCACGAAAACAATTGGCTACTGCCCGTCGTCACACCTCGTAAAAACTCGAACACAAAACTTTGTAGCGCATGTTTTGTGATGGATTGCTAGCACTACGCGAGTAGCCCACTCAAATGAATGGTCAGGAATTTCGGAAAAAAATTGACGCTATAAAATAATCTATGGCAATAATTCTCTCATCTTCACATATCTATCGATGCGCATTAGACAGAAACATTGAAATAAACCGTATATAGTAGAGTTTTCCTTGCTGATGTGCAATTGCACATTTTCCAATATGGGATTGCCCATGCGGGCCAAATATAGTTTCGTTTGATTTTTTTTTATTTTTCTGTACGCAGTTATGGGGTGGCATTAGTGTTCAACCTTATGCATTTCTAATCATATCTTAGAAGCCGGCATTCTATTGCCAATATCGCAAATTGTGCAATTGCACACAGTAACAGAAAGGCCGACTCAACTGTAGAGACCATTAATGTAAGTCAAAATATAATATATTGTGCTAAGTGACATGTCAAGACATCTGTTTTCAAAATAATCTTTCATTAAATTTCCTTCCTATACATATAGGGCAAAACAAAACTTGTAGAAATTTCTTGACATTTCTTCCATTACAATGGCTCTTGTGATGCTAGTAGCCGTAGAATGTTGCGCAATGTGTGCAAACTCACACATTAGGAGGGTATAAACTCTGACTATGACTCCACTATGAAGAATAATTTTCCAAATAAAATGACAGTAATTCAGATATAATATGGAAAACAAGTTTTGCCGGAGTTTACCATCTAATTCTGCTTGTACGTTCACGCACTAAACATTCATAGAAGTACTTTCCTGTTCTCTAGAAACTTTCAAAAACTACCGAAATCGTTTTTCCCAATAAACCTGATTTAGAGCCAATTCAAAATTTTGTCTCCACTCCTAGCCATGGAATAATTGATTTATGAGTAACATTCTTCGCTCATATTCTGTAACTCCCGGCTCAAATTCATTCGAATTAAACATGCAGAATATTTTACCAAGGCCATTCAATACCCTCCGTTCTATCAATTTCTTTTCTAATTTCTTCTAGCAAAGAGTTTTCGTTTGCAAATGCACCAAAGCTTTCCTGCAAATTGCAGACACAGCAGAAAAGTTCCGAACCAAAGCGCGAGCTCATTGCCTAGTCATTTTGGCGCTTTCGATCTTTGTTGTTTGAGAGCGACCACATCGAGAGTTTTAGTGTCATAGAAATGTGAACGACCGAAACCAGTTCTGAAGTGCTCTCATTTAACGCTAAAAAACCCTTCTTCCAAACTAAAAAGAGTGAATGCATTGAAATCTTCGCCAATCAATCACAATACACCAGCACTCTAATCACTTTTTGCGAAATTGAACGAGAAAAATGCCACACTTTTAGTGATTGCTATTGCTACCGTATACTTTGGAGTGTCTAGGTCTTACACCGACTGTTTGCAA